GTATAAAGTAACACAAAAATAAAACAGTAGTAAAAGAGCAAAGTGGTCAAAAGAAACTGCTAAAAATGAAAGACGAGAAGAAAAAATAAAATCAGCTAGAGAAAAATAGAGACTGCTTTCAAAAGAATAATGAGAAGAGTGAGTGCTAACTTTGCAACAGAAATAATACAAGCCAGAAAAAAATGGATTGCAATATTTAAAGTGCTGAAAGAACACAGCTGCAAATCCAGGCTCTCATACTTAGCAAAAATATTCTTCAACAGGGAAAGCAAGAGAAACTGGCTTTCAGGCAAACAAAACAAGTAATTTTTGGCCCTCAGATCTGTACTGAGAGACATAGTAAAGGGTATGTTTCAGGTAAAAGAAAAACATTTCTTTATGGAAACTCAGAGGTACAAAAAGGAAGAAAGAACAATAGAAAGGGTAAATATGTATATAAATCTACATACTATGATTCTCAAACATTAATGAAAATTAGAGTCATGTGAAAGGCTGGCCAGCAACACCATGAAATCCCATACTGGGATTTTTGATTCAGGCTGTCAGAGGTGGGGATTTACATTCTTAACAAGTTGCCAGGTGATGTTAATACTGCTGGTCTGAAGCTCACTCTTTGAGAACCACTGAGGAACACTAGTTTATAGAACAGTGACATCTTGTGGGACTTAAAATTTACATTGAATTAAATCTATACTTATATGGAGAATTATTTTGTGACAATGGTAACTCTTCAGTTCAATTAGAAAAAGATTATCTTTTGGGGGCGCCTGGGTGGCTCAGTGGGTTAAAGCCTCTGCCTTCAGCTCAGGTCATGATCCCAGGGTCCTGGGATCGAGCCCTGCATCCAGCTATTTGCTCAGCAGGGAGCCTGCTTCCCCCACCTCTCTCTGCCTGCCTCTATTCCTATTTGTGATCTCTCTCTCTCTCTCTGTCAAATAAATAAATAAATACTTTTTAAAAAAAGAAAAAGATTATCTTTTCATTAAACAGTCTCAATAAATGGTGTTGAGTCATATTCATATAAAAAATACTCTATTACTTTCTCATGCCATGCACTAAACTCAGTCTCAGAAGAATTGTAGGTTTAAATGAAAGGCAAAAACAATAAAACTTCTAGAAGGTAGTATCAGGTGACTTCGAAATTCTCTTAAACAGGAGCCAGAATTAACTATTCATTGAAGAAGAATTGAACTATATTAAAATTTAAAATGATGTTAGTCAAGACATTATTAAGAGAGCAATGTCACTTCACACAAAAGTTTATACAAATGGCCAAAAAAATATGAAAACCTGCTCAACCTCATTAGCAATTGTGGAAATTACACCCAAACCACCATGTGATACACCTGTTCAGAATCAGAAGGGATAAGGTTAAAATGATGGGTAAGAGTGAGATATGAGAGAATGTGGCATGGTGAGAACCCTTATATACTTCTGCAGGAGGGAAGCACAACCATTAGCACAAACATTAGCACAACAAATAGCACAACCATTTGGAAAATAGTTTGGCGTCATTTAGTGAATTTGAAGATGCTCAACCCGTATGACCCAGCACTTTCATTCCAACATATGCCCATGTGCACCAAGAGATGTAGATCAGAATGTTTATACATCATGACTCATAAGAGCCCTAAATAGAAAAACAACTCAAATCTCCATCAGCAGTGGAACAGATAAGCATATTGTTTATAAAATGGAATTCCATGCGTCATCACTGAATATGGATGAACAAACTACATGCAACTTGGGGAAAAAGACTCTTATTTCACAAACATAATATTGAATGAAAGCAGCCAATCACAAAATTACAATGAATGATTACATTCATTTAAGTTAAAAAAAAAAAACAGGAAAACTAAATTATAGTGCATAGTCATATAGCTTGTAAAATTTCAAAGAAAAACAAGGAAGTGGTTATTTTCAAAATGAAGATGGTGTGGCTTCCTTTGTTGGGAGGCAAGGCAAGTGGTTAGGAGGGAAGGAAGGAGGGGCTTTATGGGTTCTAACAGTGTTCTATTCTGTAACCAGGGTGGGTATTTGCATACGTGATTGCTTTGTGATATGCCATAGAGCTATACATCTTGCTTTGTGCCCCTTTCCGTATGTATATTTTATTTAACAATAGGTGGGATAAAATGTTTTAAAATGCATATTAATTATGACAGTAAACCGAACCACTTTCAGCTTCCTTGAAAATATCGGAGGTTCTTAATTTAATTATTTTTCCAACAATATTTTAATGAATCCTTCGTTTAGTTAATTTATTCTCCTATTCTAGTTCCTACATTACTTTGTATTAATTTGGCAAAGTAAATTAATATTAAATGGGAATCAAATGCTCTGAAGTCATCTGATAAACACCTTGTTTAATTCTTAGAATACTCTGTATATTTATTTTGGTTTCAGAACTGATTTTAAATGATAAAGTAGAGAGATAATAGTAGTAAAATTATTGGAGTAAGGGCTTAATAGTTTGTACATATAATGAAAAGATTCCTATATATACACACCCGACCTACTACAACAAACCTACTGCATGAGAGAAGTGATTTACATCATATATTGATAGATTAAAATGAACCTTATTTGAAGCAAATCTATCACTGATAAATAATAAAAACACCCTCACTAAATATAGGTCACACCGTACCTTGGACCAACAAATTTTATCTTCTAGTTCCTTTCTAAAAATATGGTTTACTGGTTCTATCTCAGAGAACAAAATTAAGTTATTGGTTTTTAAGCCCCTATAGGTTCTAAGATGTAATCCTACTTGCAAGCGAACAGCTTACCTTGCCAGAGTTTCATGTCTGTGGTAGAAGTGGCAAAACCCTTGGGTTAGACATAAACAACTTTATTACCCAGGCACAGAAGTAGTCTAAGCACCAGCATACTTTATGCTTGCTTCCTGAGCCCTGACACCTACAAGCCTAAGAGAAGAGGGTCATGTTATTGGTACACATAGTGAGGGGCATCACAGGACAGTAGCTTGGAGATCAGGGAACCAAAATAAACCTGCCTGCCCTTTGCTCAGAAGGGAGATACTACCTCTACCTTCCAAAGCTCTAAGCAAACCTTTCATTCAGATGGAGGTACTATCTCTAGCTCCCAAGGCTCCTTCAAGGCTGTGCACTATATATACTGTACACACAGTCTTGAACAGATAGTCTAAAAAAAAGATAGTCTAAAAAAAAAGACAGTTCATGCCTTCCTCCTAAGACCTTCAGAAACACAAGAGATCCATGGAGAACTCTCAATATTGGTGAAACCTCTTTATAAAACCTCTTAATACAGTTCACACAAGACATATTTTCTTCAAGTTCTAGAATATTGGCTAAAAATAAATTTTTCAAAAATTTTTGAACTGTGAACCAAATTATTTTAACAGTTCATATTACATTCAAATGCTTTTGAAGAGTCACAATTATCTGAAGTCCTAGAAAGACCTTATATATGTGTGTATGGCTGTGTATAATTTTCTGCCTTCCTTATTTAAAGTGTAAATTCCTTGGGAATAATGACTGTGTGTGTGTGTGTGTGTTGTAATCTCTTTTTCTGGTTCTTATTGAACTTTGCACTTATTTATTTAATAAAACACAGAATTCTGCCATCCCTCTTTTTTTTTTTTTCTTTTCTTGAACACCATTGGTAAAGAACAACAGCTATGCCTGTAATCTGAGTGTTCCAATGGTCATCAAAGATGACAAGGTTTTCTTATCTTCAAGTCCACCTGTTCTATCCATAGAATCCAAGGCAATGCCCACCGCACAGGGGAGCTCAGGAAATATTTGCTGCATTGTGTTGACTTGGAATTGGGATCCCATTCTAGTTCGTAAGCCAAAGTTGCTCTTAGTGACATGCTCAGTAATACATGCTGAGCTTTGAAAAGAGAAAACATTCCTTTTCTTCAAACCCTTAGACAGTCGTGTTAAGCTCAGAGAATCCTGTCCATTTATGATGTTTCTAGTATACAGATGTATAAAACTAAAGGGAATGATGGCATGTGTCTCTGCAAATATTTGCTTTATCATGACGAGAAATGAGTCCAGGGGTGTCTATTTTTTTCCTTCCTCTCGGACTGTTTGTGGGGTTTTGTTTTGTTTTGTTTTTGTTGTTGTTGTTGTTGTTTGTTTGTTTTGTTTTGTTTTGCCCCGGTGCTCATTTCCATTCTCTTCAACAATAATCCAGCAGCCAGACTTTATGGCTGAAATACTATCCACATAAGTTCCTCCGGAGGTTTAGTCATCCACACAATGCTTTGGAACCACTCTGGTCTTCTTTTCTCAATTAAACATTTCTGTCAACAACAAACGCAGCAAGTAACAAAATATTTCCAAAAAAAAAAAAAAATTTCCGTACCCTTTCCGGATCCAAATGATCTCCTCTGGGACCTAGAAAACGTGTGTTCATGTGAATTACCATCCACAACGGTCACTCGCCAGCCGCTCTGGGGTCTTGCACACACAAAGGGTGAGAGAGGGGTGTGGGGAGGCTGCAAGGCGTCGCAGCCCCGCCTGGCCAGGTGATGCCCGCTCGAGTAGCCTGCGGGAGAGTGCGGACGAGGAGAAGAAGGCTAAAGTTGGGGATCAGGATATGTGAATGCCGCGGAAATTGTCGTCCTACCCAGCCGAGCCAGGGCGAGAGGAGCGGGGTGCGTGCGCGAGCTGAGTGAGCGCTTACGTCGCAGCTAGATCTGTGCTGGGATAATTAGAGAGGAGTTGGGCTGAGCCGAGTCCTCTTTTAGCCGCGGCAGCCGGAGCCGCAGCAGCAGCAGGAGCATCAACAGCAGCAGCAGGAGCAGCTGCCCTGAGGGGCGCGCCTGACTCCCGCTGACCGGCGCGCACCGGGAGAGGCCCGCGCCCCGCGGCAGCCGCCCCGCCGCGCCCACCGCCCCGCCGCTCGGGCGCACAAAGGCGGCGGCCGCCCGCGTGGCCTTCTCCATCCAGGCATTCGAACCCCGCTCCCTCCCTTCTGCTCTCCCGGGGACGCGAATGGCAGGGCCAGGCGAGGACCTGGGACGCCGGTGGCCCTAGCTCTGCACCCCCACCCTCCTGCTGGGAGCGGGCTGCTGGCGGACGATGTGGTCACGGCTGCTCCCCAGTGCGTCTTGGGCCCGGGTCCCAGCTGCCGCCCCTCTTCTCTGCTCGCTCCATCCCACGGAGAGGAGTTGATGCTGCTGTCGCCGCCGCCGCCGAAGCCGGGGCTGATGGATGCCAGGGAGTGCCGCATTGCTTAGCGTCCCCGCCTCCGGGTTTGCTGGTAGGAGCCCGCTGCTCTTCTCTCTTGCTTTGGGGTTTTATAGAAAAGGTAGAGACATTTTAATTTTATTCTTCACTCCTCTTCTCTACCTTCTCCCCTGCCCCCAACCTCGCATTTGAAATATATATTGGGGGAGAGAGCCCCCTCCTCCCTGCGCACTGTCCACCCCGGGATAATTCCGTTGAAATAAAGGGCTAGAGGAAGGCAGAAGTTGCGGGTGGGGCTGGGGAGGGGGAAGCCCACTCTGGTGCCAATGCCACCAAAAACCCTTCTGGTGCCTTCTGAGATCTCGGTGTGTCTAGGAGGGGAGGAGGGAAGGTGCGCTATCTGCAGAGTCTCCACCTAATTGGATCATAATCATTTTAAACAAAATCCTACAAATGTTTTTTAAAAATAACATCTTTGAATAAGCAGAAGGAAAAATAAGCTCCTCCCCCCCCCTTCCCCTTTCTCTCTTTTTCTTCCTGGCAAAGACGCTCTCTCCCCGCCCTGGAGCTCAGCGCTGAAGAGCCACCTTATTATTAATCAGAATTCCCATCATTATCCCTGGCAGGCGCATCCTTCAGTAGGGCCCGCAGAAGCATCACAGAGCTGTGGGCTGAGATGTGCGTGGGGGTTGTTTTTGTTACATCTCGGAAGAGAAGAGGACAGGACCAAGATCAGTGCCAAGTGAGCTGGGTGGGCTTGGGGGCGTTGTGTTAGGGTTGAGGAGAGACAAGGAGTCTTGGGCCCGCCAGAGGTCCACATCTCTTTAAAGGAGAGGGAAGAGGGAACCAAAGTGAGGCATTGCTTTTAAGGGGTGGGAAAAGTTTATATCCCCCAGAAAAAAAGCTGCGGGAGAGTAGGAGCAACAGGGTACTAGTCTGGACACCAAGACAAATAATTTCCTGTACAGAAGAGGAAGCAGGCAGCAGTGAGGTCCAGAGGCCAGAGCCCTGTAGTGGCCAAGGCCAGGTTTGTTGTGGGACAGTCAGCAAGAGGAAAGGAAGGTTCAGGAATAAGCAGAACAATGACTCATTTACAAGCTGGTCTCTCTCCTGAGACCCTGGAGAAAGCTCGCTTGGAGCTCAACGAGAACCCAGACACACTGCACCAGGACATCCAGGAGGTGAGGGATATGGTCATCACCAGGCCGGACATTGGCTTTCTGCGCACAGATGATGCCTTCATCTTACGCTTCTTGCGGGCCAGGAAGTTTCATCATTTTGAGGCCTTCCGCCTCCTGGCCCAGTACTTTGAGTACCGGCAGCAGAACCTGGACATGTTCAAAAGCTTCAAGGCCACCGACCCGGGCATCAAGCAGGCACTGAAGGATGGCTTCCCTGGGGGCCTGGCCAATCTGGACCACTATGGCAGGAAGATTCTAGTCCTTTTTGCAGCCAACTGGGATCAGAGCAGGTAAATCTTAAATTCAAACTTGTACTAGGGATTCTTTTACTCTCCCATTTTCCAGAATTTACCTTGAGTAGTGTCATGGTTTTATAGCTTTGCTGTGTTTGTTTATTTGGCTGGGGGAAAAGAGAAACTGGAACCACAAAATGAGGTTCGGGTGGGCATCCTAGGGGTGGGAGAAAGGCTTTTATTCCTACCTTTGAAACCTTACTTCATGAGCACCTAGTTTCTACTGCAACTTTAAGTGCTTCCTGAGCCCTATTTTTGTGCTGCAGTGTAAATCATTCAACTTCTAAATAAAGCTGCTAAATTTTCACCTCTTGAGTAAGTTTGCTGTTCTGTGGAGAAATGGGGATGAGAATGGAGGCAACTTTTCCTCCTTCCCCCCTAATGAAATTCATAAACTAGGTTCATTATCATCATCACCATCACCATCGCCATCATGATCACCATCATCATCATCTGTCTCCTTAGCACTGAGGTTTTATTTTTAAAGACTAGCCTGATATTCAGCCGCGATCAAGTACTTTTGTTGCTTGGGAACTTTTCTGCTTGGTGATGTGTAGATGGAAGAATAATATGATGTGTGTCACTTCAGTGAAAAGGAAGAGTTGTACCCTCTGTCGCTGAGCATGCCTACTGACACCGAAAATAAAGGCTGACTGGTACGCTCGTTCTACACCTGTCACTAATCTAAAGAATGTGTTTCCTGTCTGATGTGATTTTTCATCTTTTGTAAGGAAGTGGAAAATGTTCAGACATGTCAGTTAGTAGACTTTTTGAGTTCTACTGCCTTATAATGGAGGAGAAATTGTATTCTTATTTCATCTACATTGTAACAGAAAAAATGCAGAGAGGGACTATTCTACTTTCTCAATCAAAATTATTTTCTTGAACTAAACACACAAAAATTTATGAAAGGGTCTTGTGTAAGGTAGTTTCAATTAAGTTCAAAGCTAAATATATTCCATGGGATTTGAAAATGTTACCAGAACTATGAATCATGAAGAGCTGGTTGTTATAACATTGGTGTATTTTTAGTTCTGTGAATGGTGACTTTTGATGCATCTGGTTAGTTGAAAACATCTCTGGAACAATTGTAAAAGACTTTTACAGTTACTGAGAAGGCTTATTGATCTTATGGCTTTCTGTTGGAATCTTAGAATGTAAGTATTTTTAACAACTTTTTATTCTTTAGTTACCTGTTCCTTGTAATTCTAAGTTGAGAACTACTCTGATTTCTTTTAGGTAGATATAAAGACACATTACTACCTAAGGAATCATAAAGCTAAGGAACTTCTGGAGTTAGCTATTGAGGGGGAATGAAGTCTATTTTTTATTTTGGTAACTTATAAAGATCTCATTCTATTTTTTATCAGGTGACAAAGTTTAAAGACACATGGAATGCCATCTTTTGACCACAATTTCTCTTTAAGAAGTTCCCCCCCACACCTGAGATGTTGATTGTAGAGTCATGCAAACCAATTATTGTGTATATCAAAATTGAAAAAAATAAAACTATTCAAGAAGGAATGTAATCCATATGTCAGTTAGACTGGCATTTTGTTTATTGAACTACAGGGAGTAGTTCAATGGGAGCTTTGGACATTTTATATTTAAATATATCTCAGAGTCTGTCAAAAATACCATTAGAGAGGCAGATTGCATTCAGAGAGACATACATATAGAACAGAACAGAACTTTTTTCACTTATTTTTGTAAGTGAACTAATATTCATACTGATTTATAAGCCTAATTAAGATGAAAGCCACTTATAGTTTTCATGTGTATGGGAAGCTGATTACTCCAGAGTTACTAAAGAAACTGTGTTTTAGTTGTCTGTCTTATTCTTTCATATAAAAGATAGGTTACTAGTAATGAAAATCTATCTCCTTGGGAACCTACAATGGGAGATAATTTATTAATTGGTATGTAAATATTTTTATTAAACCTACACAAAAATCCTTAACGTTAAAATTTCATATATGTAAAGTTAAAATGAGAAGCTATGTTCTGTAAAAATACTCTATCGGGACCTATAGACTAAAAATTGTGAGTTCTACTTCTGTGGTTGGAAATACTGTTTATACCCGTTGTATAATCAAAAAGTTATCCTATGTCAAGATCAGAAGGCATAGGAGTTATTTAGAGCTTGTCTAAAATTCCTCCTGTGTTCTTTGGAAAAAAAAAAAATCATTCTCTCCTTCTTCCTACCTGTCCCTCATCTCAGATCTGCATATATCCAGTAACAAGGACTAGTAGATAAACAGCTCTATCCTCTTGATATACTCTGTATATCAAGTACATATCTGTATATATACCGTCATATATCTGTATGTATAACTTCCCTCATTGGGATATGTGCATAAGAACAGCTCTGAAGCCTCAGGATGGTTTCTGGCAGTTCCTTCCTGGCAGCATCAGGGGGTCATCAGCCCCTTTCTTATCTTGGGACTGAATCCCTTTTCTTTCCACACTCCACAGCTTTAATTCTTATCTGATTTGACTTAAAAAAAAAAAATTCCTAACATATAATGCATTATTTGTTTCAGGGGTACAGGTCTGTGATTCATCAGTCTTACACAATTCACAGCGCTCACCATAGCCCATACACTCCCCAATGTCTAACAACCAGCCACCGTATCCGCCCCCCCCCATCATCCCTCCCCTCCAGCAACCCTCAGTTTGTTTCCTGAGATTAAGAGTCTCTTATGGTTTATCTCCCTCTCTGGTTTTATCTTGTTTCATTTTTCCCTCCCTATCCCTATGATCCTCTGTCTTGTTTCTCAGATTCCTTATATCAGTGAGATCATATGGTACTTGTCTTTCTCTGACTGACTTATTTCAGTTAGCATAATACCCTCCGGTTATCTGACTTGACTTTTAATGGAGTCTGTGCTACCTTCCTCCATGTTTACCATACTGCTGTTCTGTTAGGTGGATCTGCCACATGCCAAATCTCGTGGTCCCCACGCCTCTCCTGTTCTGTGCGTTGGGTCCTGTGGTCCTCCTGCTAGACCAAACAACCTGGGTCTCAGACTGCATATCTGATCATAATTCTGGCCACATTCCTTGAGTGGTTCAGTGAATTGCCTGGCTTTCAACAATCTTCTTCTTCTTCTTTTTTTTAAAGTAGCATTGTTTTAAGAAAGTGAAATAGCATTGTTTTAAAAAGACAGTTGGTGGGAATGTCCAGGATTACACAGGGAAATTCCAGAAATGAGGTAGAAGAAAATGTCCCCTTTATTTTAAAACCGCTTATTTCCAACTTCCCAAAGGGAAAAGCAAGATTTTTTTTAATCGAATTTTGAAAAATTCTGTAAAGATCTTGGAAATAACTAATCTGTATAACAAAAAAGACAACATCTTATGTTATTATATTTATAATAGCATGTGAACTAGAGTTAATGTTAGTTGGTATTTTTTGAGTTGGTATGAGTTATGTATTGAAAAAAAGAGTCTAAGTAGGAAGTTATCTGATAACATAAGAGAAAGTATACTTTCTCTTATGTGAAATTTGTAGGGCAGTTTTCTGTGCTTTTCAGGAGACTAGCAACAGTAAATGTGTGTGATATGGTGACCATAAATAAAATAGTGTCTCTTTATACTGCAATGTGGAGCAGGTCAGTTTCAGGTTGTTACAAAGAACTGGACCATTTCTAAAGCTTTTATAGAAGACATGGAATCTTCAAGAAGACCAAGGTAAAATAATACTATTTAGAGTGTACCTGCCTTCTAACATATATAAAAAGTAATTGAAATACTGAAATGTCAGAATGACTTTCAATGTGGTCTGTAGTTTTTCTAACAAGGATAGAACAGGGTCAGATGATTTATTACATTTGTTGAACAGATGATACTTTGGTAAAGAGTCATACAATTTTATGTCATTTCTTTCAGATTGTGTAACATAATTTCTGAAAACAAGAATACATTCCAAAAAATTAAAAGCAATTGAATTTTACACTACATCACTAATATGCAGTAGTCTTCTATGCTTATATGCTGTTTCCTTCCTAAATGATAGTACCCTGCTCAGGACTCAGCAGATACCTTCAAACTGTCCACCTGATTTCAACAGTAAAGTGTGAGGATAGTGTAACGTGAAGCTGGAAGAGCTTATACTATCTTAAGAAAAGGAAGCTTGGAATTAAAGTAGATCCTGGTTTATTTAGACTCTGGAGCATGGAATGAGGTATCTGAGAAGTTGAAATTCACTGGAACATACTTCTTGTGAGTATTCATGAGTAAATTGGGCTCCTGAAACAAAATGATGGCATGCATTCTGATAGTTGGCCTGTAGGTGGTAAGTAATATTTTACCTCATTAGAATTATAAAGTAGTTCTCTATACTTTTGTACATCAAACAAGCATTTATTTGGAATATGGTTAATAGCCATTAGAAAACAATTAAATATAGCTAAACCAAAATGATTTCTAATATAGTGGCAATTCCAAAGCACTGACCATCTTGCACTGTCTGGCTTGTCATGATAAACATTGGTGATCACTTATAGTATTGAAGCTCTGGGAGGGGTAGAAGACCGGAGGGTCAAACATCAGGCCATGATTCTCTAATTTATCCTGGAATTTGCCTAAAAAACACATTATTTTGGTTTATTTATTTCTATTGTGTGGCTTTTTCATGAAAAAGAAAATAATGATATTTGCAAGTTCTGATTGATTTGTGAATATGTAAAATAATGTGGTCAGGGGCGTCTGGGTGTCTCAGTGGGTTAGGCATCTGCCTTCAGCTCAAGTCCTGATTCCAGGGTCCTGGGATTGAGCCCCGTATGAGGCTCCTTGCTCAGTGGGGAACCTGCTTCTCCCCTTCCCTGCTGCTCTGCCTGCTTGCTCTTTCTCTCTGCCAAATAAATAAATAAAATCTTAAAAAAAATAATGTGGTCAGTCTCCAAATTCAAAGAAGGTTATATTGATAACTGATTAACATTTTAAAACAGCCATAGACTATACAAATTTGTTTTAATCCCAGCCACAAAATTTCA